ATAATTACATAATATGAGATCGGGTGGTTTGTTTAATTGACAGATATGAGTTTTCAAAAACCGTCACAATGTAGTACGATGTACTACCGGTAGTACAGTGTGCTCCTATCCATTAATATATATAACCCCTGTATCTTAGTTTAATTTTGAAATACAGTAGTAATTATCAGTAGTAATAAATTGCAAAACTCTAATTATAAATTTATTACCGCAGAATGTCTAATTATGAACTTGTTTGTAAACCCGGTTTTAATAAACGAAAAACAAAACCAGTTTCAAACATTACATAAAGAAAATATAATTATATATTTTATGAAATACGTCTTATAAAAAATACAATTGTTTTAAATCTTTATTAAAAAGTTTAAATTTTAAAATCCAACAATATCTATAAATTAATATATACAATATATACATAAGTAATAACTATTATACAAATATAATGCAAATAAGTAGATCTAACTAATGTGAATATTTACGATAAAGCGATCTCTTTTTAATATTGCCATCAATCTCTGTTTCTGATTGATCTGCAAGCTGTAGTCTGTAATTAAAAAAAAATTATAGCCTAATTCAAATTCTAGTTATAATATCAAAAATAATTTATTAGTATGTATAACTTTCTTCACTTTTCAATATATAGTTGATCAAACGTACAATAGAGCCAATTGAGACGATTCGCCTTTTGAATGACGGCCAATACTATTGACCACTGCTTACAGTACCATTATTCAAGAACTCCAATTTTAAAATTGAATAGTACCCATGAGTACTGTGTGAAGAACTGGATACTATATATTAAAGTAGTAAATTAATATAGTTATACCTCGGCTCTGATTCAGAAAATATGCCAGTATGAATGGTGAGCAATACCCGAATCTTAATAATGGGGTATTATTTTTGAGAAATACTGTAAGCAGTAGTCAATGGTAATCATTAAACTTTAGTGCATATTTTCATTTCAGCAAAATTGAAAGCTTCACCTTCGAGTTAGGTCCTTTTTTATTAATGAATGTAATGGCTTTTCGGTCGCATGGGCGCTAATGCTCTCACATCTGCAAATTTTGCCTGACCTTCTAAAACCATCTCCGCAATAACCCTCCCTGTGCCGGATGAATTTAAAATTCCCCAAACTGAATGACCTGTTGCAAGGTAAACACCATCTAGCCATGGTACTTTTCCTATTAAAGGCTTGTCATCATCGGATATTGGCATATAACAGCATTGTTCATGAAGCACAGTAGCATTGCCCAAGATATCTGGGGAAAGTGTATTTATATTGTTTTTTAAATTTTTAATCGCAGTGGGATTAGGAATGTAATCGTTTGCAGTAGCAGGTAAAGGCGATTCATCACATTCTCCCGAAACGTAAACTTCGCCATTTGGACGTGGATAAATTTCAGGTTGGGAGAATCTTCTACCAAGATTAAGCGTTACGAAACAAACATGAGCGGATATCTCGACAGCTGGTCGTATTACAATACTATGTGCTCTTTGACCCGAAACATTTGGCAACTGAAAAGCGCGGCCACTTTTTTTTGCAAGCCATGAAAGAGCTTCACCACTCCAAGGGCCCATTGCAATGATAATTATATCAGCAGGAATCGTTTCGTTTGTAGAAAGGCGAACACCTGATACCTTATATGTGTCGAATTCCAATCCTTGAGCACTGGCGATTCGAACCTCAGCGCCTCTAGATTCTGCTTCTTCAATTAAAGTTTTAGTAAACTTATATGGATGCAGTTGAGCAGTTGTCTGTGTCGTGCCAATACTTTTATATTTTGTAATCACACCAGGCTTTAACCAATCTGTTGGAGGGGGCTTAACGCTTACAGCCTTTGTAGAAGCAGTTACTTCAAGTGTATCAACCACACGGTAATCATAACGTTTTTTTCCATTGAGAGTCCTAGCGAGCTCTGCGTGTAGTTTGAAGCTTTTACGTGCAAGATCTTGTAAAGGACCTTTGTCGCACCAATCATAAGATAAAAAACCTCTTTTTGAGGTTATTAGAAAAAAACACAGGAGAATTCTATAGGTGTGAATGCTTTATGAAAAAACACAATAGCTATTGATAAAATAAACATTTTTTTTACCCTGCTTTACCCGAGGCAGCGCAACCAATTGCAGTCTGTTCAACGACAGTAACTTTCAAATTTGGATCTTTGTTGAGTAAGGTTATGTGGTATGCGATTGAAGAACCAATAACTCCACCTCCAAGAATTACAACGCGTTGTCCCGCCTCTGACATTTTGAGAAATAAATATATATGTCAATATATACTGTGCTTTTATAACATAAGCAGAAATTCTTCTGATTGGCTGATGTAAATCAATTGCCGAGTAACTTATTTATGTGTTTTTAACGTACTTTTTAGAACTGATCGTTTCACTAATAAAAACAAACGCTAATATTCACTGTACAAAAGATCTTATTAGAAGAAATAATATATTAAATGGCTATTAGACATGCGAAATTATACAGTAAAACCCCGCAATAGTAACTTCCGCATTTGTTACAATCCCGCTATAGTCACCTAGATTCTATCTATATACACTATATGATTGCGCAAGAGGGAAAATCAGTAAGTTAGACCCTAAAAAAATCATGATCGGCATTTTGATAATTTCAGTAATAAATTATTGTATATTACTGAAATTATCAAAACCCCGATTATAATTTTTTAGGGTCCAAGTTTTTACTTACTGATTTTTCCTCTCATTCATATATAAATTCTTGTTATAATCAGTGGGTTGATAGTGCATTGGTTAGCGCTCCCGGGTCACAGTCACAAGGTTGTGGGACTGGATGACAAGGCTTTGTCAAGATCACAACTAAAAGGATTTTTGAGAGGACAAGTTGTATGTAAGGAAGGAACAGAATTTATACATGTAGAATGCATAACTACAGGGTTGAGGATGATCAGATAAGGCAAATTCATCAACAAATAATATAAAAATCAAGTAAATTTAGCTTAAAAAACATAGTAGTACTAATGAAAAAAAAAAATTACAGGGTTTGATATTCAGGGGTCTTTGCCCACGCCTGAAATGGAAGGATGACCAAAACCTCAAGACAGACAAAAATAGCAAAACAAGAACCAAAGTTGCATCAGACAGATGATCAGATGGAAGATCAGATAGAGCTAAAACTAAAAACACTGTTGACAGGCAGAGAGACGAATAAAGAGATACTTTGGGACTGAGTATAGATTAAGAAGATACAAATAGTATGGAAATAGAAAAATTACAATGTATAAGATGTAATTCAGATTCTTAATAAAAAAGTGTTACACATATCTGATATTGGTAATATTATTGGTATAAACTAAAAAAAAAAAAATTCTTGTTACAATCTCGCAATAGGCATATAGAATGTCTAATTTTAATACAGTATATAACTATTGCAGGTTTTTACTTGTATTATAGCAGTTAGGAAATGTGTTACATAGAGTGATAAATTACTGTATATTAAAAACTAGAGTGTTAAATTATAGTGATAAATCACTATAGTGGCCTTATATGAAAAGCCAATTAAAATTGAGTATGTGACTATAATATAAAAGTTTTGTTAACAAAATAACTCTTCAAGACTAATCATCTAATTTTGAGTAAATAATAACAAACAATTTTGTTATACAAATTAAAAATTATCTAAAATAGATTTTGGTATACAAAATTTTTGCTAGCAAAATAACCTTCTGAGACAATGTTATACAAATTGTAAATTATATAAACATTTTGCTAGCAAAATAACTATTTAAAAAAATGTTATATATTTTTATAAGCAAATTTTTTAGGTTTTCATATACATTATTTCTTAAATAAAGTAATCTAGTATTTTTTGAAATAAAGCACATGTATAGTATTTCTATGAACTAAACTAAATTGAACTTTTGACTAAGTTCAAGTTTAGATGTTCTATAGAAAAGGTAGGTAATATAAGAAATAAGCTTTGCTAATGATTAGTAATCATTAATTTTTTAATATCAGAGTTGCAGAGTTGGCAGAGTTTGCTCACCTATTCTATAGAGCATCCTCAAGTTTAGTTCAAAATTGAACTAAATGTAAACTTGAACTTTTTTAAAAAAAAATTTAGTTTAGATTTAATATTAAACTTTTAAATCAAATACAGATTCAGTTCAGGTTTAGTTCAAAAGTTCATGAACATATTCAAGTTTAATGAATTATATATATAAATATATATATTATATATTGTCAAAAATAATTCTCTTCTAATAATAAATTATTATTAATTTTTTTTTTGAAAAACCGCATTTAAGCATACTTTATTTATATTACATAATTAAATATATTTATATTGGAGATCTAATAAAATTAGTTATGTTTTTGGTCTTGTTTGGCCTAAAGTTTATGTTTTGGTTTGCTAACTTGTATAAAAGATTAAACTCATATCTTAGTCATATCATAACTATATTAGCAATTGCTTTTTGAGGAATTGTTACTTCTCCCCATCTAGCTTGCATATACTAACACCATATTTCATATAGTGCTGTTATATGAAGCCATAATACCGCATTTTTTTTCTTAGAGTTTCTGATATTTGTAGCTTGTAATATTTCCTTTAGTGTAACTGAAACTGATTCCTTTTCTGATCCTTTGAATATTTGTATGCAGTTTCCCATATTGTTTTGCTTATTGGATATTTAAAAGCAAAGTGCTTTATTGTTTATATAATGTATAAATAGTTAAAGCAGTCTTCCAGGTTTTGTTGGTCGATATAAATTAGTTGATAGTCTAGTAGAAGTGCTCTGTAAGATAGATGCCAAAAGATATCCTTTTTCTTATTTTAGAGTTCATTTTGTTTTAAGCTATTTATAAGGGCTATATTCAGAATTAGTGCAGTCCTGACTGTTATATAGAAGGTCTGTTAGTGGGTTTGACCACCTATGTAGATTTTTAAAAACCTTCTTGATCGTAAATTGTTGTTTATCTATGTTATTAATCTTGATTTGTTCTAAAGACTATGGCCAGGTGTGGTCTGCCTCAATTTTGCCTTTAAATCTTTCTCATGCTGTTATATAGGGTTTTCAATTATTATTTCATCCTTTGGTTCTGTAGAGAGATTGAGAAATGGCTTCGTTGAGAGTAAGTTTTCTTTTGTTATAGAGATCTAATATTGCATTACTTCTTTCCATTATGGTCCAAAAAGTATTACTTGAAAGAAGTTTAATCCAAATTAATAATAGCCTAGCGTCTAGCATATTTTTAAGAATAGGGGCTGCCAAGCCTCCCTGTTCATAGCTAAGCTGAAAGACTGAGTATTGTGGCAGCATTTTAAAGTTTTTTTTAATCCAGTTTGTCAATAAAGTGCTTATTTCATTTAGTTGTTTTCTTGTTGGTGAAAGCAGGTAAGCTAGGTACCAGATTTTTGAAATTAGCAGAGTTTTGGTAGCTAAAATTTTTTCCTTGAAAGAAAGATTTCTGTAAGAAAGTTTATGTATCTTGTTTTTGATCTTCTTTGTCATATTGGCCCAGAGAGTTTTATCTGGTTGGCCATTTGTATCGATCTCATAGCCTAATACAGTAAATATATTTCGGCTTTCATTTAAGAGCTTAAACCGTGATTAGTTTGGTAGCTCGATTCTTTTTGCATTATCTGTTAAAGGAATTAATATAGATTTAGATTTGTTGATAATTGCGTTAGAGGCTTTTCATATATTAAAAAGTGTTGACCAGTCCAAAAGTGAACCAATTCCTATTGTGAGGTTGTCTGCATAGGCTGCTATCTTAAAAGCTGAGTTGTTTACTGGAATAACTCTAATATTGGTATTGATCATTTGGATTAATAGGTTTATAGCAAGTATATAAAGAAAAGAAGAGAGAGGATCTCCTTGTCTAACTTCTCTTTCCACTTTAAAGGATTCTGAAATGAAACCTGCATCTATTCTATTAGCTTTTTGTGTAAAAAACAGAGCTCTAACAATGTTAATAAACTTGTGGCTAAAGCTCATCTTTTCCAAAACCAGCTGGATAAAGTCATGGTTTACTCTATCGAAGGCCTTTTGTTGGTCTAGAAAAAGAAGCCAATATTGTTTAGATTGGTCTTTCTGGTTTCTTAAGGTTGTAATAATGTCCAGTATAGTGTCTATTATAGATCTTTTAGCTATAAATGTTTGTTGAGCTGGGCCGATTATTTGGTCACATATTAGATTGATTCTGTTTGCTAAAATTTTCATAAAAATTTTAGCATCTGAATTCACTAGCAATATGGGTCTTCAGTTGTTTATACTTGTTAGATCCTCTGCTTTCTTTGGAATTAAAGTAATTAAACTTTTGCTCCAAGATGTAGGGATGATTCCAGTATTGAGAATGTTGTTAAAGAGCTTAGTTAGTATTGGTAATACTATTTCTTTTGTATCCTTGTAGAATTCATATGTTAGACCATCTGCTTCAGAAGACTTGTTATTAGGAAGTTTGTCGATCGTTTGGCTAATTTCTTCCTCTGAGATGGGCCTAGTTAGAGTAGTGTTTTGTTTGAGAGATACTTGCGCAAGATCTTAAATGAGATAGAGAGCTGCTTCTCTGTTGATGTCCTCTTTCTTGTATATCTTTTAGTAGTATTCTTTAATATAATCTAAATTTTGCTTGTCTGGTATTCTTATTTTGGAACTGCAGAATCCTGAATGTTTTTTTTGTAAAGAGCAAAGAAATATTTAGTAGATTTTTCTTCTTCTTCGATCCATTTAGCATTAGATTTTAATTGTTATTTGTCAAATAAAAGAGTTAATTCTTCTTGTAGTTTTAGATTAACGTCTCTATAACAAGTTTGAGCTCTTCAAGATTCAGATTTTTGATTAGTTTGTTATTGAGGCCTCGAAGTGTTTTATACAGCTTTTGGATATTCTTTTCTGGAGGAGGAATTGGTTTGAATGCTTTAATAATGGACTGGATAATGTATTTGTGTAGATTCTATTTTGCAGTGCTTTGAATATTTTGAAGTTCTTCTGTAATATCCTCTTTAAACTCTAGTATATTCCAATATTTTCTGTCAAATTTCCATAAAGAGTTAGTATTGTGCTTAGGTTTAAGGTTAAGTTCGCTTTCTACCAGAAGGTGGTCTAAATTTTCAAAGCGGGTGCTGGTGTTTGTACATAAGTTACTGAAGTTTGCTTTGATGAAGATATAATCTAAACAAGTTGCTATTCTTTGGTTGTCTTGTGTAATTTGATGATATGTAAGAAAAAGATTTTTATTTGAGAAGAGTGCTGAATCAGTATACTCTTCTAAA